GGCTGCTCGGAGCTGTAGCTCAAGGATGGAGTTCAGGGCACTGGGGGCTGAGGCTCCGCAAAGGCTAGACTTAGATCAAGACTCGTGCTTCAAAGCTGGCATGTGGAGGTTGGCTCTAGAATGCTCGAGTCATGATGGCCTAGGCCTGTCGGCGCATACGAAGGGTGTGCAAGGCGTTTTCGGGCTGGTGGCTCAACGAGTGATGTACTATGTAGTTACTATGATCCTCTTCCACATCACTGATGAAAATAGCCAGGTGCCTGCGCCTGTTCTGCTGCTTCTGGGCTTTGGCTGCATCTCATGTATTCAACAAGCCCTTGAGTAATTCGGCATTCAACGGATGAGTTGTCGACCTGAGCAGCCTGGGCACCTAGCTTGGCTTAGGATGGTATAAAAACAACAGTGGTAGTCATAGTCATGATGATGATAATGTTAAACATGATGGTGGTAGTCAGGATCCATCAGTGGAAAGGCTCCGGGCTGCCCTAATGCACTTCCTTCAAGCGCCTGTGGGCAGGAAACTCTTTTCTCTGGCTTTTGTTCTGCAGAGCGCCCGTCATCCGGAGAAATCACACGGGATGCCAAGAAGAGCGGCTCATGGGACGTTTGCGCGAGGCATTGCTTTCCACGGAGCTTGCGTCTACAGACTATGATAGGCTGGGAAACGGCTGAACATGGTCCCTTTAGAAACGGCGCCTAAGCCATGGATTGACTACAGTTGCATCGAAAACCCGCCCGTCATTGTGGAGTTTGTTCTCTCCGTACGAAGACCATCGTTCATGGTTCGAGTACGCCAGCTATGTGCATGCCTGGGCCCGCCCGCGCGCCCGAGTTTTGTTGCTTAATTGCTGGGTTTTCATTTGTTTATCTTGCAAGCCAGTACTAGTAGGAAGAGATGGCACGTGATGCACCAGTAAAGGAGATGTTTCGTTGTGACTCACCCGCTCCTTCTTACGCAGCTAAATGGTTCCCCCACGTGAGGAAGTCCGATGGGGCGCCCCCTGCCTCTCTCTTTCTCTTTCTCTGTCTCTCTCCCTCTCACTCTCTCTCTCTCTCTTGCTTGCTTGCGAAGGGGTTTAGGGCCCCAAGGGACCCTTGGCCCGTAGGCCTACCCCCCCAGGCTCACAGCGGACAGTCGGCTCGGCCCCTATTCGGGGATGAAAGAAGTGTTCCTCCGAGTGCCAGAGTGGACCCTCCCCGAAGAACACCCCTCTCTCTCTCTCTCTCTCTCTCTCTCTCTCTCTCTCTCTCTATTTCTCTATTTCTCTCTTTCTCTAGCTCTTTCTCCTAGTTTCTCTCTGTCTCTCTTTCTCTCTCTCCCTCTCTCCCTCTCTCTCTCTCTGCTCTCTTTGCTCTCTTTGCTGTCTCTCTCTCTGCCTACTATTACTAGTCCCTGTTTGGGAAGACTACCCTTGAAGTTCTGCATGGTAACCAATATAGTGATTCAACAGTGATGTCCAATTGTGCCCATCCAGTTCTCAACTAGAAGAACCTGGAATGGAACGGTCCCTTGCCGACTGAACGTATCCGAAGTCGCCGAAAAAACAAAAGTGAAATCATGTGGAAATACAAACACGTTTGTGCTTGTTTGGGCGCGGGACGATTGTGTTCTTCGATTTCTTTGAAGGCCATTGTGCGCAGGGTGGCACACAGTCTGATTTCTTGCTTCGCATGCATACGGACAGAGTCAGGCAAATGCATGCATGCACCTGTGCTTCTTGGTAACTCGTCTGGCCTACACTGGCTGCCAATGGCTTCCTTTCTTCTGTTGCTCTGAAACACAGATTTACGGAAGTGAAGAAATTTGAGGCGGGTCCGGGAAGTCAAGATTTAGTTTTGGCCTCACGCCGTAGGGGAAATGATGCGATCTCATTGATCGCAGCGTCCCCAGTGCCACGCAGCACAGTTGTTGAGGGCCACATGCAGGGCATCAGCCTGCATGCAGACCTCCCGGATCGTGAAGTGAAGAACAGTGTGAGAAGGATTCCATCAAAAATTCAAACGCTGACTTCAGAGCTGTCCCTAGGGCACGGTGAAGTGACAAGGCTGATTAAGCAATTCTGAGGACCCCTAAATAGGGTGCCTCCGACACAAGGGACAGCAGTCTGGGATGGGAACGCTGACGGGCCTAGTCCTCAGTTCGGTACTTCCTGCCAGCAAAGCGGCTGAGAATTGCGGGTGGGACTGTCGCGGGGTCTAAAAGGTGTTGGCTCAAGGTTGCTGGTGGAGATTTCGCTGACCCTGGACTCCGCCTGAATTCGGTATCGAGCCGGTTTCAGGGTCATTCAAGCCGTGGATCCCTTCTAGGTAACCGTCCTTCAACACTTGGGACCTGCGCAAAGCCGTCCTCGAACTTCAAGGACATGCCAGAAACTTGCTGCGCCGACGGCAGGCCCGAAATGTGCGATTTGCGATGTGCTACATCAGGAACTCGTTCGTTGTTTAAGGTGGCGGCTGTGACAAGCCAAGGCGTGCGACTGGAAGTATCCCAAACCCTGACACCCCAAAGCATCAAAGGGGTTTACCTTAACATACCAAAACCTTCCGTTTTGTAGGGTTCCTACAACATCCATATTAGGGTTTATAGTCAGAACCCACAAAAAAAGTAGGTTGGGGTAGTTTAAGGTAGGCTTGAGTTTAGGGCTTATTCGCTCACCCCGGCTGGGCGCCCGCACTTCTCCAGGTACAGGCCGACCCCAACTCCCACGGCCTCAGCTGCTGCGGTTTTCGGAAAATTAGGGGTACCTCACTTTGGGGTCCTTGTAATTGGGATCCTACCATTTAGGGTACTATATTAGGGTCCCCTATTTTGGGAAACAAGAAGGGATATTACGGTTTATGTGATTAAGTGCTGAGCACAGAAAAGGGACCCTATAAGGATACCTATACGGTTACCACTATAAATCCTGCGATGGATGCTACAAGGGGAACTCTGAGTGACCCGGTTAAAGGGTAATGCTAGGGATGCTACTGGATACTTCAAAGGATTATATATGGGTACTATACGTGCTCTATTGGATGCCTTACAGATACTAGAAAGACACTGTCGTGGACTATGGCCCCCGGGATGAAGCTCTGTCACAACTGGGAAAACCTGGCGAGGTAGCTGGTACGACGAAGCGCTTTGGTTAAACATGAAGGACAGGGCAATTCACTGACACGCGTATAATCGTTCCCAGTGCGTCGATCCCGGACGGCGGCAAGGTCCCTAAAACCGCTGCTATAAGGGCTCTTTTTATAAAGGGAGCGACCAGGAGGCTCTGTCAACATAAAACTTAAACGGTCATGCAGCCGTGCGCGGTTCACCCCGAACTGACCGCATCCTCTCTTTCATCCAGAGGGTGCTAAGGATGCAGGCGCCCACACTAACACCCTATCCAATTTGGAAATGACAAGGCCCCTTATACGAAAACCGTTTTTATAAAAGCCTTGATGGTCAAACCCCTATATATCCTATATGTACATACATAATAACCTACTATTCAATCTGAAGGGCGCCCATATGCAGCCTCCGCGCCAGGGCCCCGGCACCTCCCCAAGGCCCTGCCACGAGGGCCCCGCATGCAGCGCCCGCGAGACCGCCTGCGAAGATATAATTTTGGATTGTGGAGCTGGATTGTCGTGATGAGAGGGTTGGGCTCTCTGGGGTTTCGGGGTTTCCGTGGCTTCTGCTTTCTGGTGGCTTTCGACGCCCACACTTACACAAGGTCTGGGATTTGGTGCTGCGAGATTTTGGATTGGGAGGGATGGGGTCGAGAGTTTTTCGCCTCACTCTGCACGCCTGCTCAGGGCATCAGGTAAGGGATTTAGGTGGACCTATCGGAAAGGCTAAGGGCTTTTCTGGACATGAGGGCGGGGAAAGGGGGGGGCTTTGGCTGCGAAGCCATCGATCCTGCCGTTCATGCAGCTGCTGGAAGGAGTCGAGGCATGTGAGCACATTGCAGACACTGGATCAAGGAGCCGCGTCACTGGGGTGAAGCTCTGTTTGTGGCTTCGGTTTCAAAGCCTTAGAGGCCAGGTTCGGAGATGTTTAGATCAAATGCTCTGCCGTAGGGGGCTGGAAGGTCTGATCCCATAAGAAGGAATTCCGAACAAAATGGTCGAAGGAGCCACGGCATTTTCACGCATTAATCTTGTGGGAGTGATAACACTAACGTCATGAGACTGACTAAAGCATGCACCTTGTCGTAACTTGCTGGAGGGTCCTGTTCGATTCCTGATCAGCACCAGCACGAGCAAAGTGCCGGACCGAACAGAGCTTATGACCCGAGGCCCAGCAAGTGCCAGACAAGATAAAGGAGAACGGCCCCACAGCAGGTGTCAAGAGCATGCCAGTCTTGAGATAGGTTTCTGGCATGCCTCTCTGTCCAAACCAAATCCCACTCTTTAGATTGTTAGAATTACAGCATAATGGGCCCTAAAACCCTGTTCTAATCATTAAGGCCCCTATGTTCCTGTGCATGAGGGGTAACCCTGTTGTGAGGAGACTCCCGGCTGGCAGGACGTATCAGCTCATTGGCTCGATCTGCTCGATTGGGCCATGACGGGCGGTCGAGGCTAACTTCGGTAGATCCGACGGTTTAGGGTTTAGGGGGTTTAGGGTTTAGGGGTGTAGAACCGAAACCGTTTCTTGGAATCATGGACTACAGGGGTCTTACTAATTAGACTGGGATTTTGGGGCCTAATGAGGCATTTGTCATATAGTATACAGTATTGGTAGTTGCTTAGCCCCCTCTATTCCCCCAGGATTCTCACCCGTTGTATTGTTCTGGTGATTCTACTCCTCTTGCTCTAGAGTGCGGTCACCTGCTCCCTGAAACTCTTACACATATCTGTTACACCCTTTGTTTTTGCCACTGGGCTTGGGGAATAGCCAGATGTTATACCCTGAACCTAATTACTCCAAAGAAGGTGCTCGAGGCTCGCAGAAAGGAGCGAACAACCGCCGCTTGAACCCTCAACCCTTTTGAAGCGATGTTTATGGCCTCCTGTATACTTCG